AAAAAAAACAACAAAAAAAACCACATACGTAACTTCGCACGTGCTTGTGTTGCGCTGTTGTCGGACGTGCGTGTGACGTGCGTGTGACAAAAGGAGGGATACCCGAACGCCCGTGAGGTGGGGGAAAGGGGCGGGGGAGCACAGGCAGGAAAGACACGACGTTGCGTTCTCAAAGGATATCTGTCGATTGCGGGCGTTTTTTCTTTTTAAAATTTTTCTCTTCCCAAAAAAGGCGATGAGGCTTCTGATCCCTGAGGGCGGTCGCCGCACGGGACACGAAACGAAACACGAAACGAGGGCATCTTCCTGCAGAAAATGGCCAGGTTCATCGGTTTGCTATAAATAGTAACGAGTGTATTTTGCCCGCTTTCGTGGGCAGATGCACTCGTTTGGTTTTCGTTTCGTGTGCCGTGCGGCGAGACCCTCAAGTCGAATGCATCACGGGCAGATTGTCGCGGGTAAGTTCAACCTCCTGATGACTCAGTGAAAATCCCGACGAAACAGTTTGTCGCGAGAGCAAGTTTGTTTTCTACTGGAGGAAAACAAAACAAAACGGAACCAAACAAAACCAAACAAAACCAAACAAAGCCAACTTGCTCCGATCTACTACAGTCTGACCCCGAATACAACGCACGGTCATTATTGCTGAATTCGGTGCATCTTTCGGTCTAAATTCAGCTATAATGACCGTACATTGTATTCGGGGGAAGACTGTAGTATTAAAGGACGCTAAGGGCGTTGCCGCACGGCACACGAAACGAAAAACGAAACGAATGAATCTTCCCACAGAAAATGGCCAGGTTCATCGGTTTGCTATAAATGGTAACGAGTGTATTTTGCCACCTTTGTTGGGCAGATGCACTCGTTTCGTTTTCGTTTCGTGTGCCGTGCGGCGAGACCCTAAGTGTCTGTCGCGAGAGCAAGTTCAACTTCTGAGAAGGGAGCGGGCGGGGTGCTCGCGTTTCTTTCTTTCTTTCTTTCTTTTTTTCTTTCTTTCTTTCTTTCTTTCTTTCTTTCTTTCTTTATGTGTTGGTATATTTGGAAGGAGTGAGTGTTGGAGGACGCGAAGTATCTGTATCTAGACTCAAAGTTGCCCTAAATACAGCGATAATGACCGTACGTTGTATTTGGGTGAAGACGGTAGAGGTTATATGGGGAGATGAGTGGTGGGAGGGAAAGTAGATACGCCCCCTCTAGTGGTACAACCAAGCTTGCTACGATCTTCACCCGGACAGCACGCACACACGCTCATTGTCACTGTATCTAGAATGAAAGCTGCGTTCTATTCATAGTAAGACGATCGTAGTAGTACATAATGATGATGATGATGATCGGCTTGATAACAAATGGAGCGTTGACGTCCACCGGATAAAGAAAAAGAAGCACTTCTTAGGTCGGGCGTTACGGAGGGAGGAAGGGGAAGGGCGGGCTGTGGAGGGAGGAAGGGGAAGGTAGGGAGTAGGACGGAGGGAGGAAGGGGAAGGTAGGGGGTAGGACGGAGGGAGGAAGGGGAAGGTAGGGGGTCGGACGTGGAGGGAGGAATGGAAGGAGGAGTTCAGGTGGTGATCGGGCTGAGGAAGGAAGGGGAGGAAGGAGATCGGGGGAAGGAGGAGGAGGTCAGACAGAGATCGGGCGAACGAAGGGGGCGAACGAAGGGGAATGAGGAGGCCAGAGGGGGAGGTTGAAGAGAGTAGGGTGCGGAGGAGGCCAGAAGGAAGAAGGGGAAAGGCGGCGGAGAGTAGGGGGGAAGCAGGAGGTCAGGTGGAGATCGGGCCAAGGAAGGAAGGGGACGAAGGAGATTGGGGGAAGGAGGAAGTCAGTGCGAATCGGGCGGAGGAAGGAGGAGGAGGGAGGAGATAGAGCGAAGGAGGTCAGGCGGAGATTGGGCGAAGGAAGAGGAGTGAGGTGGCCAGGCGAAGGGAGGGCAGAGGGAGGTTTGAAGAGAAGGTCCAGAGGAGGGCGGGAGAAAAGGGAGGCGGCAGGGAGAAGTAGGGCGAAGGGAGGACAGAAAGCAGAAGGTAGTTTAGAGATTGAGTGACGTATGGAGGAAAGGAAGAGGTAAGGGGGAGACGAGCATGGGAAAAAAGCGTGAAGACGAAGAGGAGGAGGTGGAAGGAGGGCGGGAGGAAGGGGAAAGACGGCAGGGTGAAGTTGGGCGGAGGGAGGGCAGAGGTTGGGCGGGGTACGGAGCAAGAGTTCAGGCGTAGTTGTGGAGAGAGAGAGAGAGAGAGAGAGAGAGAGAGAGAGAGAGAGAGAGAGAGAGAGAGAGAGAAGGAGGGGGGCACGCGCTACTTGGTTTCTTCTTTGCCTTTTTTGCGTTCCAGGAAGTGTTGCAAGATGAACGCGAAGTCTTGCAAACATGGCTCCCTCCCATGTAAATGCTCTACTCCCATCAAGTCCCCCACACGAAGAGCAACTGCCAAGCAGATTGAATGCTGATTTGACGAAATGTCTCATTCATAGAATGCAAAACCTGCTTAACTCGAAAAAAAAAAAAAAAACTGCTTATCATCAGTGGCACTCTTGTCCTGTGGTTGGAGGCGACTTCCAACACCTTCCCCGGGCCAATCATCATCAATGACGGAGACTCACCCACACGTGCATGCCACTTGCACACACATAGAGTCAAAAAACTCAAACAAGTAAAAGCACGGGGCATACATGCAAGATCGCTTGATCATGAACATATCCAGAGGAACACAGCATATACAAAAGTCTGAATCTGAATCTGAATCGGAATTGTCGACAAAAACATCAACGGGACAAAAAAGCAACGGACATGATTTTCTCAGAAAAGTTGTAAGAGTTCTTTTTTTTCTTTTTTTTTTTCTTTTTTCTCCCAGAACCAAAAAAAAAAC